TGCATATCAGCATGAAAAGTGATATTTTGAAAGATGGTTATTGCTTTTTTGTTGTTGTCGTTGCATGTCTCGTTTTGTTTCTTTGTGAATTTTTTTGTGAAACATCTTTTATTCTAAATATGATAGAATTGTCAACTGTTCCTTTTCCATGGTGTCTTCTGATCTTTGAGGTGTCAGTGACCCTGCAGAGAAAATCAACTTGATGTTTACATGAGATGTGAGAAATATGCACTCGGGCCAACATGTTAAACTATTGCACTTCCTTTAGAGAAACTACAAGCCATAATCTGTACAGTAGAATAATGATCAGTAAATGGTTGTTTTACTGTCCAACACATCAAATAGGGCAGTTTTTTTTCAAGATATTCATCAGTCAGCACACTGGATTTTACTCAAATGCAGTCACTGTCTTTTCATTGTTTTAATGATTGCTGTGCAATTACTGACATTTCAGATTGTGTTTATTGAACTAATGTGAATGAGATTGTATTTTTCATGTCTGTTTTTTGTGTTTGGGGTTGCACAGGATTGTTGTAAAAATGTGAATAATTTTACTCAATGCTGATTGTTCTTTTATGTGTCAAATATTTTGAGAAATTTATAGTTGCTTTTTCATGAAAAATCACAAATGATACATGTAGAAAGTAATTTTTGGATGAATTTGTATTTATTGGGAGAAATAAAAAAAAATGTATTGGGATTTTTGTTCTTTCTAAGTCATCTTTTCTATATAAAAGACCGATATGATTATTTAATCTGGTATTATTTTCATTTTTCCTCTCACCACTAGAGGGTGCTAGAACACAAGCTCTCTGTTTATCCGATAAAAATCCGAGCTCAGTGGCAGATATCACACTGAACAAGTAGTTCTCTCACAAATAAAAATGTGGTCTGAAAATTCTAGGAAGAATTTTTACATTTTTAAAGTAGATCCATAACACCATCCATAAAGATCCTGCATTGGATCGAGGATTGAGATTGAAGCCTATTATTTTTTACAGACGAAGAAAATAAGGTTTGGAATGTGTTGAGACTGAAACATCCATCTGCAGCAATGCACGTTATATTTTCAATTCACAATTTTCAATAAGGAAAGGGCAAGAAAATATCAATTGCATTCATCAATAATTCAAAAGGACATCAGTGAAAACAAACCTTTATTGTGGCATTTAAAATAATCAAAGAAATGCTAGACATCCTTACAGTACTTTAACATTAAGCACCATTGAGTTATTCATATACAAACAAAAACCTTTTAAAATGATGTGTCAAGTATGTAATTTATCGCACCTGATGTGTTCAAATGAAAAATTATTTAATTTTTCCTCTCACCACTAGAGGGTGCTAGAACACAAGCTCTCTGTTTATCCGATAAAAATCCGAGCTCAGTGGCAGATATCACACTGAACAAGTAGTTCTCTCACAAATAAAAATGTGGTCTGAATATTTTACCCATATTATAGGTGAAACATAAAATTCTAGGAAGAATTTTTACATTTTTAAAGTAGATCCATAACACCATCCATAAAGATCCTGCATTGGATCGAGGATTGAGATTGAAGCCTATTATTTTTTACAGACGAAGAAAATAAGGTTTGGAATGTGTTGAGACTGAAACATCCATCTGCAGCAATGCACGTTATATTTTCAATTCACAATTTTCAATAAGGAAAGGGCAAGAAAATATCAATTGCATTCATCAATAATTCAAAAGGACATCAGTGAAAACAAACCTTTATTGTGGCATTTAAAATAATCAAAGAAATGCTAGACATCCTTACAGTACTTTAACATTAAGCACCATTGAGTTATTCATATACAAACAAAAACCTTTTAAAATGATGTGTCAAGTATGTAATTTATCGCACCTGATGTGTTCAAATGAAAAATTATTTTTAGCACCTCATTCTTTGGTAACAATGCAACCAGATGTGTGTTTTTTTATCCTCAGCACCATTTCTTTACTTGTTAATATTTTAAAATCTCTACACTCCTGAGATCCGGTTTCTGCAGTCCAGACTGAAGTGGTTTTAAGATAAAAAAAACAACAACTGCCAGCTTTTATTGAAGACTATTGAAGTCACTGATCGGGGCAGAGATCGGTGCCTTGTGGTTTCAGAACATTTAATCTCGCTCTCCCTCTCTATATTTCTATCATGTGAGTCTCTCTCAAGTGGATTCTTGCTACTGAAAAAGGAAAGCCACATACATCCTGTTGAACAGCAACAAAAAGCCCCCCTCCCCTCAATAAACAGAGCCAGACACAACCACACACACTCGAAGCAGATTCTCAGGACCTGACCCATCTAATACCAACAAATGGCTGATTCTTAAGCCAGATATAATAATAATTACCATTTAAAAGTTTGATGTCAATAGGACTTTTTTTTAAAGGAAATTAACACTTTGATTCAGCAAGGATGTTTTAAAATGATCAAAAGTGACACTAAAGACATTAGAATGATTTCTGAAGGATCACGTGGCACTGAAGACTGGAATTCTGCATCACGGGAAAAATTACAACTAAATTACAATTAAAACTGAACAAATATTTCACATTACTGTTTTACTGTACTTTGGATCAAATAAATGCAGCTTTAGCAACCACATGCTTCAATGTGAACTTGGTTTGTTATGACTCCAGTTGCCTGTTAATGTCCGAAGGGACCAGCAGCAGTCAGTCACGCCTTGTAAACATCCTATCACAGCTAACATAAACCAGCTACCATTTCTCAGATGCCGCTGATGGATCTTAAGAAGACCCTGCCTGGTTTGAAAAAGCCTACACAGACCTAAATATCTGGACTACATCAGTGGTGCTCAACTGGTTTGGCTTCAGATCTGGAGATAACCTGGAGGTCAGAACTGTTCATCCAACACTAAACACATATGTCCCTAATGTCAAACATTTTGGTTAGTATCACCATGAATTGTCGCATTTCTATGAAGCACGTGGCCAGCACCAAACCTCGTATCTGATGCCTAGTCTGAAGAGGCATTTTCTTTTGTTTTGCATACAGTTGTTCATTGTTTTTTGAAGATTACAACACCTCACACAACCTGACCATGTTGGCATCTGCCTAATTTAACTATCTTCTACCATGTGAAATAAAATGACACTGAACTACTGTACACACAGATTTTGATGTCAACCACAGAACGGTTACAAACCAACAGAACGGACCTGCAGCTTGTTTTTTTGGATCCTGGTCCATCATTTAAGAACCACTGGAATTAATTTTGGATGCTGTTAAGGTGCAGTCATATTTACCATTGCTCTGATTTTGCGAGGGGCAATCCAGCCAAAATCTGTGCGACTGGGAGTTTCAGCGCCAAAAAAATGTCCCCATGCAGATTCCAGTTGGTCATGCAAATTCTTAGCGCTGACTCAAAGAGCTCTGTAAGGTCTGAAAGTGACTTCTGTATGAGCTGTGCTTCATGGACCCAGCTATCAAAAATATGTTTTAAAACGTTTTACCAACATTCCAATTAAGCCATGAAAACGTTATTTCTGAATGTTTCTAAACATTCAAAATGTCCAGAGTTGATGTTTTTTCTTGGTTACTTATGCGAAGGGAACGTTCGATTTGATACTTTTGCAAACTCTCCGAAACAAGTAACTTAACATTTAAAAAATGTTAGACAAACATCCAACTAAAATGATGCAGAAAAAAATGGTCCATTATGGATTTATATATAACAGTTTTGTGCTAACATTTTCAAATTTGAACAAACTTTCGGTTAATGTTATAGAACGTTGAGAGAATCTTGCCAAAACATTAGCCAAAGTTCTGAGACCGTTCCCTGTAAAATCCCATATATACTATACAATTTTAGGCTGTCCCAGACTAAAGATGCCCAATGTGAAACAACAGTGCCGATTTCATTGGTTGTGGCTCCTAAATGTTGGTCCTACGTCGTACTGTGAAAGAGGTTCAAAGATGGCCGTTGTCACGGTCTTGTGACCAAAGATAGACTGTGAAAATCTCTGCGATAAACAGTGTCAGATCATCTCACAGTGTGTTTGCTGCTATGATAGGGTGACCATATTTTACTTTTCCAAAAAGAGGACAGTGTGTGGGGGCTGGGGTGTGGTTGGTTGGTTAGTGCCCAATGTAGCACTCAAAGTAGCGCAATGACCATGTCCCAAATTGCAAAACTCAAAATATGTCATTTCCATACCTAAAATACATATTTAACAGTCACTGTTATGCATATTGATCATAAACGCAGCTAAAAAGCATCCTACCAGTGGCTCTCCTTCACAAAACTTAACATCTAGCAGTTTTATCATAGGAAGAATGAAAAATGTTTCAATATAAGCATTTCAGTCAAATGTAATTTATGCAACATTTCAAACCTTTAAACCACGGGGGGGAAATCAACCCATGGCAACAGTTTAAAAGTAACCCTATTCCATGTAAAAAAAACACTTGACAACCCTGCATCCAACACGAGCTGCAGGAGTCAGATTTGACTGATCACAGGTTGAGAGGAGAGATGGCTGACAAGACCATACTGGAGGATTTGATGCTTAACAGATCCTGAGCTCATTGACAAATGTGAGCCTGGAGCACAAAACCTTCTTAAGTTGCTGGAGTATATTTGTAGCAATAGCCAAAAATACATTGTATGGGTCAAAATTATGGATTTTTCTTTTATGGCAAAAATCATTAGATTTTGTAAATATCCTACTGTAAATATATCAAAACTTCATTTTTGATTAGTAATATGCATGGCTAAGAACTTCATTTGGATCAATTTAAAGGCGATTTTCTCAATATTTAGATTTTTTTGCACCCTCAGATTCCAGATTTTGAAATAGTTGTATCTCGGCCAAATTTCGGAAAAATTTACACTTATGACTGATTTTGTGGTCCAGGGTCACAGATATCTGATCTTCCTTTACACAGAGTGCGTGTGATCGCAAAATCGAAAGTGAACAGCGAGCGCTCATTCAACAGAGATTTCAATACACCGCATATTAATAGCGGCTCCCTGATGCGTGAAAATTATATGCAATATTAGAATGTTTGCAGGAGCAATGGACACAAAAATCACGGGAGGTGGCGATAATGGTCAGAAATTCAGCAGGAGCAGGATTAAGAAAACAGTTCCTCGCAGGGCTCTAAATCAAAAATGCATACAATGAATGGCGACTAGAAAGCAAAAGCCAAATCCCGGACATTTTGGGTGATTTAGAAATCCCGGCCGGGTGCATTTTTTTATGTTTGAAAAGAGGACATGTCCGGGAAAAAGAGAACATATGGTCACCCCAGGCTATGACCTATGTCTACTGACTAGCCAATAAAAATTCAACATGAAATGACGTACCGATCAACATGACATGGCGCTAAAGCTTAAAACAATGGAGGTGAAAAGAAGGAATACCGTTGGAAACCACAACTGACGAAGCTCATACATCATGCCATACATCTTGCTCTATTTGTTTACCATGGGCGCATGCTGATGATGTTTTATTCTTCTATATTAACTTGCATTGTAAGTAGTAGGTCCTAATGTGAAGTAATGAAATTGTGCTAATGTGACCACAACTTTCCCGGTTCTCTTCATATAAGACCCCACACTGAAGTAGAAAAAGCAGATTTCTCTGCATTAGGAATTTAGTTTGGACTGCAGAAATCTAATATGAAATGTTTGGATGCTTTTCATTTTTGTAAAAGCTGCTCCACTGATCAAACATTTTGGCACATTTTCAAACTTCATAAACATCCCGTTCACTCCTTCCCACCGCAGTTTCTGGTCTCACTCCGTTTCTGGTTTGATGAGGTATCCGTTAAAGGTGATGTAAATGTCCACATCGTCGCTATAGATGGCGTTCTCGCGCTCACGTTTGTAGAGACGGACCCAGACCTCGTCGCCCTCCTGCAGAGGCAGCATGACGCTCTGGCTCTGCATGATGGAGCGGTCGCTGGGCTGAGCGTAGACGATGGCCTTCTCGCTGCTGTTCTGCATGATGTGCAGGTACGTCTCCTTGAAGTTCCACGTGTGGATGTTCACATTGAAGAAGTAGACTCCCGGGATTTGGCAGCGGTACTTCCCAGCAAACATGTTGAAGTGTTCGGGGGAGTTCACGAAGATGGTGTCGAAGATCAGGGCCTGGTAGTTGTCAATGCTGTGAAGGGACTTCCGTCGGCCCACTGAGAAAGCAGAATGCTGGGATTTGCAGGCGTCACCCGGAGCTCCAGCCTGTCCCTTATCTCCTTTGAGGCCTTCAGTCCCCCATGGTCCCGGGGAACCCTCAATCCCAGGCTTCCCAGGAGTTCCCCTTTCTCCACGGTCACCTTTGTCACCTTAAAAAGACAGATAACAAGGTGTAAGGAAAAAGCAAAAATGTCAGAAAGAGTCTTACGTAAACGGATTATTCAGGTAGATATTGTAGATATTTCTGCAGCGTAACTAACTTTAACCCTATAAACATGGCTGAGTAGTAACTGATTACATGTAAGTACTTGTAATTAGGGTATATTAAAATATTCATAATCAGATTACAGTTCCTTTTTATGGATTACATGATTACATATCATTTACGCAATGACAGTAAATTATTCATAATTTATTGATTCTCCCTAATTCTTCTTTTTACCTATTTTAAATGTTCATTTCTAAAAATCCTGCTGTGTGTCATACCATTCAGCTTTGCCTATATTCACAAAGAGAAACAGAAAGAAAGACATATTTCAAGGAATATATTTTCAATGTTTAATGGTAAGTTTAAAACAAGTTTAATAAAAAATAATCTAAAAGTAGTCAGAATACATGACCTAAAATGACTAACCTAGATTATGTTACTAACTACAGTTTTCATCATGTAATCTGTAATCTACAATTTGTAAGTAATCTACCCAGCTCAACCTATAAAGCCTACTGAATCATATTTGATACACAGGCTTCTAAATGATCAATATGATCAATGTAAGATTATTCAAATTAAAGATCGATTTTTATTTATTTTTATTTGTATTTAATTTTTTGCAATATTTCAAGATGAACACTTACTGGACTATCCATACATAATATTTTAGAAAAAAAAAACATTTTAAAATGTGATTATCGGACATGATACCTCAAGCTTTTGAGGAACGTCATCTCTCAGTCATTGTTGAATTGCATTGCATTATATGTTCTGTCCCTACAATAAAAACTAGAGCTCTGCACATAACACTAAGCATTTAAATATCATCTTAATAAGGCATATTATTGGGAAAAATTGTGTGACGACTGATATTTATATGCAATTTGTAGAAGTAGCCTGCTATACTGTTCTAGCAGTTCTAGCATCAAGTTCTCATTGATTTATATAAAAGCTATCAGAAATGCGTCTGACTTTATGGCCATAAAAATATCAGATACTGCACTAAATTGGATATTTTTTGCTTAGTTTGGGCCTCTAAATAAAATACTATTATGAGCTCCATATTGAAAGGCTTGTGGCTTTTCAGTATTGTAAATACACAAGCACAAATTCTGGCAAACTAAAATAAGTCCCCAGAACCTCAAATCACAGCTTCTAAAATGACAAAAGACATTCTCAGACACTTATCTTAGGTTCAGTTATTTCTTTGTCTTTTGTCAACATACAATTTTGGCACCAATTGTGACCTCAGCTCAGAATTTCCACAGATCACATTTGCTGCAGGCTTCATTCCCATATATGTAACAAACACATGCACATATGTGCATGCATAGACACGTAAAGCAACTCTCATGCAGTTCTCGCCACATCAGCACCTTTCCTGCCAGGTTTGTCACTTCCTGTCCACCAAGTAGGCCTCCAGTGGAGCAGATATTAACTGAGGCTCACAGAGGGGAAGAAAGCAGCTGAAAACACATATTCACATTATTCAGCCTACGCCTTATTTCCCAGCTGAATTACATTTATACTTAGTTTGCGGTTCAGAACAAATATCCCACAGCACTTGTGCCAGAAAAGCAATAGATTGGGAAACGGGGAAAACTAAAATCCAACAAGGATCATTGGGGTCAAAGTTTGGCTACAATGAGATGTTCAATATTTGCTAAAGTTTGTGCTAATGTTATTTGACTCTGAGACATCATGTACGGCACCTGTGAATGCTGTAAGTGGTTTAAAGGAATAGTTCAACCAAACATGAAAATATGCTGAAAATGTACTTTTTCAGAACAGATTTGGAAATTCAGCATAGCACCACTTGCTCACCAGTGGATCCTCTGCAGTGAATGGGTGCCGTCAGAATGAGAGTCCAAACAGCTGATAAAAACATTACAGTAATCCACAAGCCTTAACACTTCGTGAAGTGAAAAGCTGTATGCTTTATTTACTTTATTTTACTGTGTTTTACTTGTAAACAGGGCTTGATCTGTGTATATTTCTCTCCTGATTCAGACAACACAACTTTTTCACTGGAGAAAGCATTATGAATGTCTTAATGATGAATTTGTTTTTTACAAACATAGCTTTTCAGTTTACAAGACATTAATAGATTATTGTGATGTTTTTATCAGCTGTTTGGACTCTCATTCTGACGGCACCCATTCACTGCAGAGCAAGTGCGCATTGGTGAGCAAGGGATGTAAAGCTACATTTCTCCAAATCTGTTCTGATGAAAAATATTATAAAAAACACAAATCTCGTCTACATCTTGGATGGCCTGTGTTTGAGTACATTTTCATCCAATTTTCATTTTTGGTTAGGCCACAAATGGCTGATTTTGCAATAAATAGTGTTAGGGTTCTTTCAGGGTTTACTCCGAAAGAATAGGGATAACTTTATGAGTGACACAACTCGTTTTTGTCATGTAAGCTGAAGCACTTTTTCGGGTACCTTTGAGAATGGACCTAAACGAACTATGAAGCAGAATATATCTGATCTTTCAGATGTGATTGTAAGTGCATGTGTGTGTGTGTGTGTGTGTGTGTAAGCAAAACTTACAGTACTTGTTGCGTTTGCAGCTGCAGTTGGGTCAGTGAGCTGAGAAGAGAAAGAGAGAAAGAGAGAAAAGGAAAAATCCTTGGTCAGCTTATTTCTCCCTCCCTCTTTCTCTCTCCCTCCCTTTCTTGCTTTCTCATTCACCCTCAATGTCTTTCTCCCATCCCTTTCCTGAACATACAACACAATCAGCCTGCCAGCTGAGACAGACTTTCCTATTTATTTTACTCGTTTACTAGTCAGAAGAGTGTCCAAACAAGCTGCTTTCAGAACTTTATGTCTGTTTCTTTCAAACGTTTCCCTGCTCTACGTTAGAACTGAGTGAACAATGTGAAAACCCACAACGGTTGTGAACATAAACATTTATAAGTACACACAAACATAAACTCAATATGAACTGTTGCATGCATGTTTGCAGGATGCGGCTTGTTATGAATAACCCATATTTAGGTCTTTAGAGACCTGTGTTCATCTCCAATTGTGATTTTTAACTAGTTTTATACTGAGTTAATGGTATTATCTACCCATGTAACCCTATCAAACCCATGCATTTTTACACTTTCTTTAAAACATTGTTTTGCATGTTTATTAAGCAGTTTTTCTCATTCAATCATCGGCTGATCCCCACAATTTAAATAAAATTTGACGTACACACATGTCTACTTATCTAAATATAAATATATATGCTATACTATATTCTATACTTAAAAGATATTTATGTATCTTTATAAAAATAATAGTAATTACTAGAGATTACCCCATACACTAAAATAATCATTTGGGGGGTTACTTCAAGGTAACCTAAGATTGCAAGGCAATCACTAATAATTCGAAATAAGACAATATGTGGTTGGAGTAGTTTAAGAGTCAACATTAATAATAGAGCTCACAAATGATGGCCAATACTGCATGTTCGGCTTTATGTTTCAGCACATTTGGATCATTAAAAAAATCTAGAGTAATAAAAGAAGGACTTTTGAGGTTCTGTCATTATTAAATGTAAAACACACCCTTCTTCGAATTCACAGACTCATCTGTTTTGCATTAGTATGTCTGGGTCACTGGTTAAATTCCTGTTACTTATGCAATAGTGATCATCTCATTCTCTCCATATGGAAAGAAAATTAAAGTCTGTCATTGACCTCCGATTGACAAAAAGCTGATTTTGTCCTCTACTCAACCCGTGCTGCATTCCTCTCCATCTGCTGCCTCCTTTTCCTTTCAATATTGTTGTCCAACATTCTCCTCTGCAGCTTTGCACTCATAATTATCCTCCGTTAGCGTCAGGATCTGTGAAAAACATGATTATGAAGCTTTTCTTACTGGGTTAAGTAAGAACTTTCTGGAATGTTTAAGTGTTTAAGAAATTAAAGGAATAGTTCACCCATCATTTGCCTTGAGAGGAACGCATGAATAGACTTCCAACAGAATTAAAAGTATAAAAAGTCATTGAGGTTTGAATTTTGTATTTTTTCCACGTCAACCTGCTCTGTAACTACAGACGAAAATTAGCCACACTGTCTAAATCTGACACATTTTACATTGATTTTATGTAACATTAATGTGCATTGTCCCTGATTAAGTAAATAAATGGGGGGGGGGGGAAACCCCGCTCACCCATTCTAATGTCATTCAAACACCATATGGATTTCTTTCTTCTGTGGAACACAAAGAGATATTAAGCACAATGATTGTGCAGCTATTTTCCATGACATAAAATACAATTACAAATGACTGTTTGTTATTTTAATATTTCAATTGTAGTTTATTCCTGTGATGTCAAAGCTGCCTTTTTCAGCATCATTACTCCAGTGTCACGTCCCCAGTTTAAAACTGAATTAATATCACTTCTTAAATCTCTTAGTTATATAAATAACAAAAAATCCCAAAGATGTATCAAATATTATGAAGAAATGTTTAAAGAAATTACATGTATTTAAAAGCTTTCCCTGTATATTAATGTGTGTATGTTATTGTTTCAATAGTGGTAATGTATGCATTCTTGTGTCTCCTTGTCTTGTCATTTTTTGTATAATATTTTTAGTTTTCTCTCTCTGTTTTATTATATGTGTTTGTATGTAATTCCTTGACAATGTTCTTATGTTATTGAGCATTAATAACATTTTTTTTTAAAACTCCAGTGTCACGTGATCCTCAGAAATAGTATGCTGATTTGCTGCTCATGAAACATTTCTTATTATCAGTGTTGAAAACGTCTTCTGCTTAATATTTTCATAGAAACCATTTATTTGAAATAGAAATCTTTTATAATATTAGAAATGCATTTACTGTTACTTTTGATCAATGTGTTGCACCATAGCTGAATAAGAGCAAGCATTGACTTTCTTTAAAAAATCCTACTGACCACAAACTTTCGAACAGTGGCATATGAAAGACGGGACAACAATTGCATTATATAGCATTATATCCCACTCACATGAATAAAAGCGGTTTGTTTCCTCCTCGATATTATGTCTCCGGTTACTTCATCCCTCAGTCATGAGCTCACTGCTGCCTCCTGGTGGAGATATCAACAGTTAGCCCAAGTTTTATGGTCAAATCCAGGCGGGACCAGGATGCCAAACTGTGTCAAGGGTCATAAACAACACACTCAAAAACGTATCTCACATAAACAAGCTAAAAAGCGTGTTAATGGTGCTCTTTCTCCTCCTTCTCAAGAAAAAGACGACTTTTTGTTTTGGTTCACGGAGTTCATTATTCAGGCCACGCAGGGGAGATGAGCTTGACTCACAACTTGACTTACACAAGCCGCGCTCGCTCCACGGCGGTGAACGGAAACGCGCTGGCACTTATAAATGTCAGACCGCATAGCCTACAACCTGCAACTCCACTCATTCACACACACACACACACACACACACACACACACACACATCTGGTTTGCTATCCTTGTGGGGACTCTCCAAAGGCGTAATGGTTTTTATACTGTACAGACCGTATGTTCTATTGCCCTACACCAACCCTACCCCTAAACCTACCCCTTACAGGAAACTTTCTGCATTTTTAGATTGTCAAAAAACTTCATTCTGTGTGATTTATTAGCTTGTTTACCCGTGGGGACCTCAATTTAGGTCCCCACCATGACACGAGTCCCCATGAGTCTGTGTGTATTCAGGTTTAAGTCCCCACCAGAATAGAAAAACAGGTACACACACATACACACACACATTTCTGTGTAAACATCATGACATTCACACCATTATATTTTTGGGAATTTATTTCATTCTGAAATAAAGAAACATGCATAAAAGAATACATACATAATATCAAAAACGTACAAAAAAAATAACAAACATAAAACAAGGATTGAGTAATTGCAACAAGTACAAAATGACAAAAACGCATATTTTATAGTTTAGAAAAAAGAAAATACATTTTATTTTAATGGGGGGAAAAAACACTTATTCTCAAAGGCAGCCTACGATCCAGAAATGCTCAAATAATGCAACTATTGTCCTTATAGCAACTGTATGTAGCCTACGTTTTTATTTATTTAACCTTAAAATATCAGATTTAAAAGTTTTCAGTTTTCTTTCTACACTGAGTTCGGTTTCTTTTCCACATTCCCCCCAAACATCAGGTCTGGAAGTATGTAGGTTTGGTGAGCGGGTACGAAATTCCACCAAAAAGGGTGGATTGCTTTACAGCAGCAACAAATCAACACGTAGCCTACAGCTATAATTACGACAGTGATATTTTACGACAGTGAATTCCACTTAATTAACATTGATTATATGTTGCTATAGTCGCAAAAAATACACAAAACTACATACACTTGCTTTAAAACTTTGTTAGAAAACGTATAGATATCAGTATATAGGAGTGTTTTTTTTTTTACCTCAAACAACCTTGAGGCTTCTGCATTCATGGATTGCCTTGCAGGCATAAACAAGCCCCTGCATTTCTAAACAATTAATTCACATTTGAAAAGCAGCATTTATACCATGTTCATAGCAGTCAGATAAACATGAAATAACAGTTAATAGCAGCTGAAAATCAAGCAAATGCTTAGCGCTTGATTTTGAATATTAAAACTGTTCCATTTGGAAACTTGAACTAAATCACTTTAACCAATTATATTTCTATTTAAAATATGAAATGTTAGCAACATAAAAGGTTAGTGGTGGAAATGACCTCCAACAATTAAAGTTGTATAAGCTATATTCAGCCTTAACATTTGCTAAATTAAACATTAAATCAATCAAGCAAACTTATAAGATATGTTCAAATTAAATGCACTGCTTCCTTCATATGTGTCAAACAAAAGTGTAGCAATCACTTGACCGTTATCTGAGCAGTAAATTTCTCTATAGCATCCTTATTGCAGTGGCACTGGCATTCAAATAGAGCTTAAGTCATGTTTAACCCAGAACATGCCTTCAAATCTAGCTTATCCTGACGCTGTACAAAGGTCTCTGAAATATAACACTTTAAAGCTGTTATAATGCAGCTGTTGTGGAACGTTGAGCTTTTTAATAGCATTTAATTAATGCGAACAGAATGTATACAATTTGCAGCGTTGTGAAGAATTCATGTAAATAAACTGCCTAGGGGAGACCGGGGCAAGTTGTCACAAGACGGAGCAGTCACAGAGGTACTTATTAGGGTTTGAGTCAAATGTCTAATTACACAAATGTGTTTGTTTTCTATAGCAGTGGCTATTAAACTAGAATCATTTTGTGAATCCTGCCCTCCAAAAAGGTAGATTTCATAAATGTCAGGACAGGGCAAGTTGTCACATGTTTAAAATTTCAAAACAACAGTCTGATATGATAGTATGTTACCATCTCTTATACATTTGCTGCTTCATGAATGGTTTCGTTCAATTTCACTAATCCTATTCATATTTCAAATGTATTAATGCCTATAATAGGCTGTTTAATGTCAGGTTCCCGTTTTGACAGCTTACCTCTATAGAGTGGGGCATGTTGTCACAAAGGTCAATGTGATCGGTGTGATGTGATGGTCGATGAACTGTCTTTTCCCCTGAACAATAACCCTAAGAATGTTCAATAGCATTTTTTTTTAGCCAAGCCTCTAAGGTACACTATGATTCAAAAGTCTGGGGTCAGTGAGATTTATACATATTTTTTAATTAATACTTTTATTCAGCAAGGACACATTAAATTGATCAAAAGTGATAGTAAATACATTTATACATCTTCTGTTAAAAAAACATGAAAATAATTACTGACCCCAAACATTTGAACTGTACTGTATGTGTCGGTATAGAAACTGACTTTCAAAAATAAACCCGAGTTGAAGTTTACCCCGGTCTCCCCTATACAGACAGAGACGGATTAGGCCAGCGTTTAGATGGATTTGTTGCTGTATTTCTGCATCTCCTTCAGGGTCAGATACCCGCTCCCGCAGGGCTCAATCATGGACGAGGGTCTGATCACGGCACCCTCTGCAGGCTCAGAGCTGGAATTGCAGCTGGGTGCTCTCACAGGTTCAGACCTCGGTGTGATGACGGCCACCGGAGCCAAACTCTCTGCTGGGCGGACAGCATTGTGGGAACCCTGTGACAGCGACATAATGAAGGAAATCAGCGCTTGTCCTTCCGCCGCACATGTCTCCGCGCCACTGCTATCTTCATCTCCTTGGTCATCCTCACAATGCTCCTCTCCAGGCATGCCGAACCCTGAATCCGGGCTCATGGGCTGATCCGTCTGATAACTTGGGGTTTGCACACAGTTGTATGAAGACCCAGTGGAGCTTGTGGCTTCCTCAGGGTGGTAGCTGAAGTACACGGGGCAGGATTCGAGATAAAGAGAGCCTCTATTGGATTTGCTATAGAAGTAGCCCATGTTAGAGAAAACAGATGATGATGCATGACTAGTGCCGCTGTTCTCCAGTCCAGAGTCCACCTGATTGGAGTGAACGAAGGCGGCAGCAGACATCTGAGCTTCGGGATCCATCAAAGACACGTCCCAAAAATCCGAGACCTCTACAGGTGAGATATCGTCACATGACTGAGGGGTAAGAAATGGCCCAACAGAATTCTGACAGCCCAGCATTGTAATTGTAATAATATTTCACAACATTTCCGTTTTTACTGTATCTGTGATCAAATGAATGCAGCCTTGAGGCTTCTTTCAAAAACATTAAAAATCTTACTGACCGCAAATATTTGAACGCTAGAGTAAACAAACACTTTGGAAACTAGTATAGTTCATAATATATGCAGGAAATACAGCTCGAACTCACCCGGAAGTTTCCACCGTGAACAGTGTGAAGAGGCTGGAAATATTTGGAGGGGTCTGGAACATGTTGATTGTTTGGTTGTATTGACCTGCAAAGAAATAATAATGCTTGATTATGATGCACAAACAAACAACAATATCAGGTACAAACACCAAAGGGTACAAACCGACATGGAAATACTGTAGGTAGAAACACACACACACACCTACACACCTACACCCACAC